GATTGAATGATTGAATATTGATTGATTGAGATGTTATATTTTAAAATAGATTAATTAAGATTGATTGATTGATTGATTGATTAAGATATAATAAGATATTATATTAAGATTGATTGAGATAATTTGAAAGTTTGAGATCTACTCATGAATTATAAATAAGAATATCTTATTTTGTTATTGGACTATAGTCTGGATATTGGAGGGATACTCTCAGATTGTTCTATATAAGTTTTGGATTCTTTTTCTTATTATGTACTCGTAATCATTGTTATGATGTATGTATATACATATATATATATACATATAATGATGATGATGATAACAATAAGAAAATAAAATGAATTAAGGATTATCGATTATCGATTAAAAATCAAGAGCTAACTAGAAGGGAGAGAGAGAGAGCTTTTAGAGTGTATATACTGGAGTAGAGATCCTATACTGAAACCACATATAGAGTAACTATTGGTATCACCGTGGTGGTGATGAAGTGTCAATAGTACTATCGTATTTCACGTGTTTGTATTGCCTTAAGAAACTAAACTATGGAGATACTAATGCTAAAAGATATACGCTCTATGGTGGTCAAAGTATCGCTTATTGCCCTAACCCTTAGCCCTACTGCTCACTACAGCTAGGTGAGTGATATCCAGACAGTAACAAATAGATACTAAGATCATCCATATGAACCATCACTGGCATCCTTCTTTTACATATCATAAGTTCATAACTTGAAGGACTATATAGTAGCAATCTCCCACCGTGACATGAACTTTTCTATCCGAGTTTGTCTCCATATATATCTAGATAATATCGTTTTCTTTTGCTTATACTCTTTGGTACAATTGTGATTTAATAAGAAGGATGATTATTCTTGAAGTGTGCAATACCACCTAAATGTGGATTCTTACTAAGCTAAGCTAAATAAGCGATAAGCTATCACATAATATGAGTATAACAATTGGCTCGAACTAAGTATGAAACATATTTTCCTCCTGCTCTCCTTTCCCGCTAATCACTCCGCTTGCCTTGCCATAAACTCCTCCACTAGCTCCACCGAAACACATCTATCTAACTGCCACTGATCCCACTCAACTATACAGCCTCGGAAGCGAATGAGATATTCTGTCATCACACCTCCCCCGCGTCTTCGCAATTCCCTCATTCTCAGGACTCTCTCTGGTACTAGCTCAGGATTCTCCACTAAGCGCTGTGCGAATGGGCGAGTACAGTGCTCTCGCTTAAACTTCGACCTCTATTAAGAATCAAAATTAGTTCGATTTGTATTAAAAGTACTACTAGTAGAGAAAGATCTAGAAGACAAGACTTGAAACTTACGAATTACTAGCCAGAATAGCTCGGTCTCGAACTTCTTGACTAAATAGATGAAATTAATTAGTTTATGGTATTGTGTTTGTAAACTGAAAAGATTGGAGTACTAACGCTCTCTGAGCGAATAATCGTCTAATTAATAGTAAAATAATTAGTATATAAATAATTTAGAAATATATATAAGATATGCTTCAAAGAATCCTTTAATCAGAAGGTTTGGGGAAACTGAAACTCACTCTGCTATGATCAAACTTTCATTCTCTCCATCTTTACAGGCAGGAGGGATGGGATACTGTCATTTGACAGCCAAACATCGTGTGCTATGATTGTTAGTACTTATCCGGGATATTATCGGATTCTGATTCTCGCTAGTGGTGGAGGGATAAGGTAATAAACCGGAGGGTGGGGAGTTGGTGAGGGAGGAGTCGGTAAATTCTCGCTAGTGGCGGAGATGGGGTGAGCCGGAGGGCGAGGAGCAGGAGCTGGAGGGGAGAAGCTGGAGGGGTTTTCATTTGATAACTATTGATCTGTAATTGTCAGTATTGATCTGGGTGGGATATTAATCTGGCCTACTCAGGTCATGAATGATTGATCTTAATGAACAAATCTCCTTTTGCCAGTTATAACTTATAGGAATAAGTAAACATCGAAAGTGACTGACATACCGTTTATTATTGATGAGAGTGTAATGATGTTTCTTATAATATGGAAGAAATGATGTGTTGGATGATGTATGATGTGAATGTTGATGCGACGTTGATATTGTGAAGGGTGCATACATGAAAATAGTACGAGTATATTAGTAAATGAAGTTATCAATGAAAGAAGAAAAGAGAGAAGCAGTAATAGTTAATGAGCTAAACTAGTGCGGGTACTAATTGAGTGGGAAGGTACTAGGTGGTCAGGGTCGTGCTCCTAGACAGATGTGATGTTGATGTAATATTGATGAAAGAGAGGAAGGAAGGAAGGAAGGACCACGAAAGAACCCCAAGATGCAGTTGTTATTCGAGTAAAGATGACGTTGTTAACAATGATTTTAATGATGCAGAATATCAAAATATTGTGAATGATGTTTGATGATAATGATAATGTTGATGTTGATATGATGTTGATATGAATGCAAATTTAGGGCCTTAAAGAATATATATGAGTACACTGTAATATACTACTGGAGTATAATCCAATCGATTCCAATCAGGCCTATAAATAAATGCTCAAAGAGGTTGGTTATAAGTATTTACAATTTTATTAGTGGTCAGGGATTAGATCTTTAATGATTTTATTCTGTTTTTAGTTTCACAAATAACACAATGCTCTTACGGATGATTGAGGAAAGAAGATGATCGATGGATTTGAAATGGGATTAGGAATGCCTATGAAATACGATTATGGATACAACTTATAAGTATAATTGAAAGATTATATACAAATTCTTTGAAAAGTATCTAGACTGATCATAATTTTTATACATCACGGAATTGAGTGATAATTTGTAGACAGACTGGAGTTGAACAGAATATTGGATATGAATCTTGGAATTATCGATCTCTGGCTTTGTACGAGTAGATTTAATTAATAACTTGATAATACATATTAAAGTGTTTAGGGTCTTGCTATCTGATTCTGATCATAGGACTGATATAATACTCGACTACAACAACTGACCTTGCACTTGTTAAGTCTTGTGCTGATAGAAGTACAGTGTGATTTTGAATTCCCCTTCTCTCGGATAGGTTCGCTGACACCTAGGGACCTAGGGTTAGGAGCAGGAAGAAGTGGTCAAATTTATCTCAGGGTAGGAGTGGAAAGGAATAGTTAAAAGTGTCCAAAATGTGCTTAAAATGTTAAAAACGCTCAGATATGTTCTCTAATCGTTCCTATGCAGTCATGCTGTAACTATTCAACCTTCAGTAATATAAATCGCTACAAAAATAATCTATCAACTGCTAGATCTGAACAGCACATACCACTTATCACTTCCAAAAGGATAACCTTTCCTACAAAAACTCTTTCCCTTCTTTCCTTTTAAGCTCGAAGGATAGGAAACCTTTATTTTTCAAAAATTAGGAGTGTGATAGGAAAGGAAAGGAAGAGGAAGGGAGCACTAAGGAGGGGAAATCAAGATCACTGTTGAAGTACATTAAAGATTGGATGATTTGCAATTTACAATACTTCAGCAACTCAAGCATATAATTCGCCCCCCTTCCCCTCCCCTTTTTGAATACAAAAACATATCATGGTAGCAAACCACCAGTACACCAAATGCCCAATCCGGAGCCCCTTATAGATATAACGCCAAATCAAAGAAATCAAGCAATCTCTCTTCTCGAAACACTAATTCAGGATGTGTGCCACGAGAAAAGAAAACCAGCATCTACTCTATTCCACACTTATCTAAAGCAAATGACGAGCCCATCAATCAGCTCTCTCAGTCTCTGATCCTCCATCTCACTCTCCAGCTGACGAAACAAATGGCACAGTTTGTCGAGTCTCTCCTTTGCGAAATTACAATGAGCCCACAAATCCTCGAGTTGATCCTCGCGTTGGACCATCCAAAGTTCCTCTTGTCGGAGCGATTCGGATACCCATGAATGAGTGCGGTATGTAGCTTCCGAGAGACGCATGTTAGAGTTTAATAGGGACTCCCATATGAAGTCTCTTCCGGAATTAAGTAACCAGCCTCGTTCTCTCCATTGCAACCGCGGGTTCTCTGCTTTTGTGATCGTATCCTCCCAATGAAGCTCGATAACGATCAAATCGGCTATGGCTTTTCTGACTACCAGAATGTCCATTGGCGATCCTCTAGTGATGTCTGGCATCTTGGTCTTGCTTGGCGTTTGTATCTGGATATAAGATTTACTTGTAGGTGTTGCGTATATTCGAATATTTTGGTACAAGTTCTTGTTAATTGGAATATATTTGAACCAGATCGTATGTTTGATGACTTGAATAGATAGGGGATTTCTTTTCAATGGAAGAGTAAAGCTTTAATTATATATAACTGTGTCATATATTTGAGGAAAATTGAAAGCGGAATCAAAAAAGCTTTCTTCTGAGGGGAAATGTGAAGGTTAAATAATCGAGGTGTGCAAGCTAAGAAAGGGCTAGATGTATAGCGCTCACTAGGTTCTTACTTAGTACTAGATTGTCCTTGTTTGAAGGACACTAGATATGATCTATAGATTCCTCTATCTCTATCTCTACCTCTACCTCTACCTCCTTCTTTGTATCTTTATTTGATAATATATCATTGTCTAATTGCCTCTTTTATTGCTGATATTATTAGTACACAATATATCGTTAATAAATGTATAAAACAATGAATCAAAGGCAAAATGTCATTCTTAATTAATAGCTCCCATCGATCGATGAAACGCTTCATTCGAGAAAGGATTCCATCCCATCAATATTGACGAATTAGGTGGTTCCATCGATCGATAGAATATATCGATGAAAGGAGTAAACCAGATAAACTCAATGCGCAGAATGCCTTATACGAGTTTCCCGTTTTCCGACCACTAAGTCATTTCTAGTTCATATATTCAACGGGGTTAGATGTCGAATTAAAGGCACTCTGAAAGTCTACGTTATCTCTGGACATCCAAATATGTTTGTAAACTCAGATTCGCACCGCTGTCTATGATTAAACGGCTTTGATCATTTTAGAGATTGTGAGCATTCATATGGTATCGAATATATAGATAATTTAGAGTAGGTTCAACCTTGGGAATCAAATTGAATACCGGGAACTTATGTTTTTTTTTGAAAGTCATGATCATCAGCTACTGATATTACCCCATGAGCAAGAACTGTATTTGGTAAAGTAGATGGAAGTTGTTAGGTAAACTTCATAAGAGATGGACGAGTTATGCTTCCGAAAATCAAGGATGTAATGCTTTTGTTACTACGAGTACTTTAGACTGTTCATAGAATCTCAGCATATATAAATTTCCCATTAAAACTTGTGTAATTGAATGATGTACAATTAATATGTATAATCTCAATTACCAGTATAAGATTTTTTGAATCTTGTCTCCTCTCCTCTCCATTAGTCAAGGAGAAGAGGGGAGTTTGAGAATGTTGCAAATTAGAACTATTATACTCGTATACTGATCCACGGTGAAATCCATCTCATTTGCAACGCCGACACACCATCCAAACGCCCGTTTTCCCCAGACAACTAGCGCACAGCCCTCATGGCTCTACCGTTTCTGGTGTACTTGTAATCCCAAGCAAGCACCAAAGTCTGTCCACGCGAGCCTACCACCGTCATCTCTAACCTCTCTATCATCTTCAAATCGATACAGGCATTATTGTAATCTTCATTGTGATCATCTTCCACTATTTTCCGGTAATCGCTCGCGCTTTCGTCGCTCGCTATGCGCTTGATCTTGAATGGTAATCTGACCACGTTCAAAATGTCAGGGTGACTTTGGACTTCTCGTTCAAAATGTGTTTTTTCTTCGACCACGTCTTCGGTGCTGGCTGGTTCTTCTTCTCCGTCTTCAGTTTGGTCGAGGGTTTCCGCGTCTATTTCGGTGTTTGCTGGGCTTTTGCATCCGTCTCCAATTTGGACTAGGCTTTCGACTTCTGTTTCGGTGTTGGATGTTCTTCTCGCGTTGTATACATCAGTTGAGTCTTTCTCGAAATCTCTTGTGCCAGCCTTTTCCTTTCGTCTAATGGATAGCTTTCGCAGAATCCTTTTAATGAAACTCATCTTGATACCGTGAATATGACTTTTTGTGGTTCAAATTGTTGTTGGAATTGGTTTGATAAAGTCTGTTGGTGATTTGAGTAAGTATGTTTTATTTGGGGAGACGAGATCAGATTTATTAATAAAGATCAGGAGAAAATATTCAAGGAGAGATTATGTCATTTACATGATCTCGTCTTTTAGTAAATGGAGGCCACCCTGGATGCATTCTAGTCGAACTCTAATATAGTACTATTGAGAACTAGGAAAATGCCGGCTTAAAATGATTTCTACCTTGGAAAAACACCGATATCGATATGACATCAAATAATTTCGACGTAGATTCGTGTTGTAACCAGTTTTGGTATAAAAAGTCAACTCAACTAAGTTGCCCTAAAACCATTCAGTATGTTCGAGAACGAATTCGCCCTGTACTTGATTTTCAGTGCCTTTCTCTCAATGTCTTTTAAGGTATTTGCAGAAGTTCTCGCGCCTTGCATCACTCAGTCTTTGTGCTACACATTCAGTCCTAATCACAAATTTCTCAATATGCTCATCATGAATCATATACACATGGCCACCTTGGTTTTTATTCTTAGGTACGTGGGATTGCGTACTCTTAGTTTGAGAGAATCATCCAGTGACAATCTCGAATTGATAGGTACGTCAGACATCATATTCATAAATGGTGATCACTGTGGGACGAGCGGGAAAATGACGAGCGTTAGACAAGTAGTAGCGTGACGGCAATTGAAACTAAGCATGGATTGAGAAACTTGTCAATCCAAAGGTCTAGATCACCAAACTTTGATGAAAAAGTGACTTGTTCATTTATTTACTGTACAATTGATATACGGCCGCGCGATAACCCTCATATATCGAATCTCAAATTGAACAATTGAATCCCTACTCCAAATTTCTCAAGAACTTTCCGATCGAGAAATTGAGCCTATTACTTGTTCTTGGTAGACGTATCCATCCACTACTGCCAACTCATGACTCCATTTCCACGAGGGCCTTTGTCATTCTGTCCTCTAGTCACGTGTGCCATTATTCTAACCTTTTGCCACTTCAATAGCATTTTGGTCCTTGGGATCATTGGCCCTCTCTCTTTCATACTTTCGCCTTTGCGAGATGGAGAAAAGGCTAGTGAAATAGGAAAAAGACCCAAAAAAATAAAATGCAAGGTTCACGGTTGCGTAGGGTAGATTCAAAATTATCATTGCGAAGACTAAGAGTCGTAATTAAATAACTCGATTGACTATTCGAAGAGAAAGCGAAGTTCGTGAATACAAGGAACCCTAGACTTTTTAGCATCGTCGGTCTTGATCAGTGCGCATAGGGGCGCTCGTTTAAAACCAGATCTAACCTTTTTGGGTATAGCAAATTTGGAACTCGATCTATTTGAAGGAATACCAACTACAACTACAACTACAATTACAACTATACAAGTGTATGCTCATCTCTGCGAATTTCTGGCGTAGTGGAATTGTAGTATATATTTCGGGCAAGTAAGTCTCAAAGTAAACTCCTGCGTTAGACTCATTTGAATATTTGAATAACAGGGCTCATTATACCAAGTATCAAACGGCCAATCTTTTACATCGCTTTAGATTTAATTGACCTTGATTTGTGTGTGAGTAAATCTCTAGCTATTGTAAATAAAATGGAAATTGAATTTATATTCTCTCAATATCCCAAAACAACGAAATACAATTCCCAGCCGAGGTTGAACAATCTAGCACTCCCGACCGCGGAGAATATTGGAGATGTATACGAGTACAATGAGACGCTTACAGTAGTACTCCATTAAACCCTCCACTCTAAGTTTGATGAATCCGACTACAGTATAGTACAACAAGTGTGGTATAATGACACAATCCACGACAATAAGTAAGAGGTAAAGAACCTAAGGACCACCCATTTGATATCTAACCACGAGAGATCGACGAAGAAGCCAAGTCAAGTGATACTGTAGCCACAGTACCAATACTCGAGTAAGAACATCAAGTTTCGTTTTTGAATTCCATGAACGCCGTCTCATATCATCCATCATCCATCATCCGTGGACCGTCGAACCCATTTGCAATGAGTGACTCCGCCATTCCCTCAGTTTTCGAAGACCAAAACAATATCGTAATTATCAATCAAGCTCCACATACTGGAGTAAACATGTCCTAAAATCTTAAATCCTTCATTATTAGTACTTGATAGATGTCGTGCATGTCGATGGTCATCATATGTTGTCGTGTATGTAAATGGTCATCGTTATATACCGGTACGTCCTAACCGTAAACGCATCCTCCAAATGGGCATGTATACTCGAGTACACACTTCACACTTCCCAATCATATGATATTACCCTGTATAATCTCCTTTGTGAACCAAAGGATATGGGTATGCAACCAAGTGGTCTTAAAATTTCCCACGCAAAAGATTGAGGATGTAGTCCATTAGAAAATCAAGAAGTGACACTAGTCATCCAACTTACTACTCATGGCGCAACGCAATCACCGGGAACAGATGAACTGAATTGTAAGATACACAGATAATATGCGTTTGATTTTTAAAAAATCAAACGACTACTGAAGCATTATTTATATCACGAAACTCACATCAGCCAATAATCGAAATACCGTCAAGCTCTTTAAATCTAATTTGAATTGGGAATATAACTACCACTTTTTCGGTGCGCCAACGACCGTCCGGGAAAAGGTCGCACTGGCAATAGTTGGAGCCACGTTTTTGGCTTTCTCTGATGCCAGTATACCAGTCCTGTCTGTAACAGGAGTAGCATCAATGATGTTGTCAAATTCGTCATCTTCTCCGTTATCCGAATCTGCTTCAACTTCCGAGTCTTCCTTCAATGGTACCGGCCTTGAGATTTTCTCTGGAGCTGCTTTTTGACTAGTGTTTTGTGGATTTGCAAAGGGTTTGGAGGCGAGAACTCGTCGACGTAATTCTGCCATTTCTTCTTCGTCATCCTCGTCATCGGAGATAGCAAAAGGATCTTTATCTTCTTGCTCCTCCTCGTCCTCATCATCGTCAGCCAGGGGTTTTCTTTTTGGTTGTTCTTTACCGAGGTAGATCCCATCGACTTCATCGCCACCTTCCTTGCCCTCTTCATCATCATCATCATCATCATCGTCATCCTCATCTTCCGAACTCTCAGGCAATCTATGATTCGTATTTCCACTCTTCCAAATGTCATCCTCACCATCAGCGCCAGCCTCTCTACTCTCCCTATATTCCCTCTCCAACTTATCCATCCAGACCTCCTGAGCTTTCTTAATCTCTCCTTCATCTTTACATGCTGCGTATCGCTTCAACAGACTTGAATTGATATCCAGAAACGATCTGCCATAGTTGAAATTCTCTAAAATCTGCTCTGCCCAATCCTCAAATCCACATATGTAGAACGCAGCTCCCAAAGCCTCCACACAATTTAGCCTCCAAGGTTTTCCATAGTTGACCGAGTTTGCCGCGACGAGATATGGTAATAACCTCTCACATTTCCCCCCTATCTTTGCCCAAGGAACTTCGGATGTGCGCGCCCATGAACATTCTACAACCGCCGCACCGTATTGCTGCATAGTTTCTCGATCTGCCGGGGATATTGTAGCCTTTGCATTTGGAGATATAATAACACCTTGATGCTTTTGACCAATTTGTAACTCTCGCATAAGATTAAGTTTCATGAGCTTCTTTCCAGAACATCGTTTCGGATCGCAGTGGCCAAGATCCCAGCAAGCAGCTTTGAAGGAGGGTCGAGAGGAGCGGGGTTGTGATTCATCGTCGGAGTCGTTGCGCGGGCCTCGAGTTCGTGGTGGATTACTATATTTCTTGCCTTGAGAGGAGAAGTTATCTTTCTTGTGTCGGACCATGGTGTAGATGTGTAGTTAATTCAGATTATGTGGCGGGTTTCCTTCTCAAGATATGAAATGAAGTGAAGTGAAGTGATATAAAAATCGAGGTGGGGAAAGTCAAGAAATGTTCAGCCTTGCAAATAAGGTTGACTAAGCATGCATCCATCTCCCAAAGTCCAAATCGTGTCCACCCCCCACTGAGCTCATCACAACTTGTCTCTCGCGCCGCATCATCTTAAATACGAAGTTTCCAAAACCAACAACTTTCTTCTCAACCCAACATTATTTCACTTGGTAATAGACAAGAATATTCCTCCAAATGGAGGCAGCTTCTGCAAGAATGGCGGCACGAGACCGTTTCTCCATGATGGGTGATCCTGGACCCTCCCCTCTACAAAGATATATCCAGCAAGCCTGTTCTCCCGAGAATTACGAGCCAAATCTGGCTATGAATCTCGAAATTTCCGACCTTATAAATTCGAAAAAGGGAAATGCGCCACGGGAAGCAGCGATTTCAATTGTCAATTATGTCAATCATCGCAACCCAAATGTTGCAATATTGGCCCTTGTCCTGTTGGACATCTGTGTGAAGAATTGCGGATATCCATTTCACTTGCAGATCGGTACAAAGGAGTTCTTAAATGAATTAGTTAGAAGGTTTCCGGAACGACCGCCGATCAGACCGAGTAAAGTCCAGATGAAGATTTTGGAAGCTATCGAAGAGTGGAGGGGGACAATCTGTCAGACTTCGAGGTACAAGGAGGATTTAGGTTTTATAAGAGATATGCATAGGCTATTGAGTTATAAGGGATATGTGTTCCCAGAGGTCAGGGTGGAGGATGCCGCGGTACTCAATCCGAGTGATGTAAGTTCGGTGGATTTAAAGGGGGGCTACTGGGACGGCAGACTGACGATTGCACAGAACCTAAAATCCGCCGAGGAGATGGAAGAAGAGGAAAAGGCGGCACAATCTGCAAAGTTACAGGAATTAATTCGTCGAGGTGGGCCCGAGGATTTGCAGGAAGCCAACAAGTTGATGAAAATTATGGCAGGATTCGATACGAGATCGAAAACGGATTATCGAGCAAAAGCGGCAGAAGAAGTCGGGAAGGTTCAACAGAAAGCAAGATTGCTGGAAGAACGACTGGAAGAATTCAAGCCTGGAGATGTTATGACCGAGGGCGATGTCTACGAAGAGCTTGCTTCAGCTCTCCAGAGTGCGCATCCCAAAATACAAAAGATGTGTGAAGAGGAATCGGACGATCACGAAGCAGTTGCGAAGCTCTTGGAAATCAATGATAGTATACATCGTACTGTTGAGCGATACAAGTTGATGAAGAAGGGCGATGTGGATGCAGCTTTGAGAATTGTCAAGGGCACCCTTGGTACTAGTACAGGGGTCAGCAAGAATTCCGAAAATGAACTCTCGTTGATCGATTTTGATGGCGAGCCCGAAACTAATGGAAGCTCGTCTACGAAAAATGCTCCGGCGAGCACGTCTCAACCAGGTGGTTTAGAAGATGACCTATTGGGGCTGTCTATGGGAGAGATCTCATATGGCGAGGGTGGTGGCATTTCTCTTGGGTTTGGGAACAATTCCAGTATGTTGTCTTTCTATGTTTTGAATTTATCATATTAATAAGGTCTAGATATTCCCGGCCCAGCGTTGATGTCTTCAACGACGGAAAATAGCACCGCCAAAGGACCCACACCAAGCAGATCTCCGGTACCTTCAAATGTACCCGTTAAAGCTGATTATTCCGCCTTCTCTGCATTTGGATCTTCACAGCCGCAATCGAAACCCGCGACTCCACAACCATCTCTCTTCCAGCAGCAGCAACAACAACAAACCGCAGCCTCGAGATCTCCTCCCTCAAATATTGATCCATTCGCTGCTCTCACAACTCCGTCAAGACAATCTACACCTCAACAATCAGGCTCCATGTTCGATTTTGCCAATCCTAAACCCCCGGTTTCACATGCAGCAAACGCCCCAGCACCTGCAGCAGATGACGATGAATGGGCATTCTCTTCTGCCCTACCCGAAGGTCTTCCACCTTCCAATGACTTAACAATTAGTAATACCAACCTCAAAATATCCTTAAATGCTAGCCGCGAACCTAGTACACCTGACGTCATCACTTTATCCATTGCATTTTCAAATAATTCAAACGAACCAATATCTAATCTAACATTTCAAGCCGCAGTCACTAAAGTATGTTCTTTTCTTACTCGCTTCAAATCTGATCTACATATTCTAATCACATCAATAGGGCTATACGCTCCAACTCCAACCTCAAAGTGGAAGGAGGCTCAATCCCCGCCAAAATCTGGGCATTACCCAAAAGATATACCTACAAGGTGTAGAGCATGGGAAAGGCGACCAGGTGAAGATGAGGTGGAAGTGTTCGTACCAGCTTGGTGCCCAAAACTCCAACGAGCAGGGTGAAATTCCCAATTTAGGAATCTCCTGATGAGGATGGTAGTTAAGGCAAAGAGTCGATCCAAGGTATTGAGTCGAGAACAGGGTGAGAATTACAGGTCATGGTTGCCGATACGTATGTCTAGAAGTACGAAGGTTCAAGTGATTTAGTTCGGATCAAGGAGCACATTACAATGCATGGATGGAGGTGGTGGATATCCGGCTACGGCCGATATAAAATCAAAATTTAGTTCAAATACCTAATTCACTTCTGGTGGTACTTCATTGTCCGAACGCAGGTGAATGATTCTGTTTCATCTTGTTTCATATTTTCCTTTCATCTGATAATAATATAATCTATATTCCAACTATAGTACTGAGACTATCCGGCCCATTCTCTACTTGTAATCTCTTTATATTGATAATGATTTTAAAAGCTTTGAAAAGCTCTAAGTCGATTATATCTAAGATATAAAAGAAAGAAAAGTGTATTATAGAAGAAATTTAATAATAAAGAGATTAGATTCAAAATAATTTTTTTTTCTGTGACCAAAAGGGTATAAACAGGACTCCGATTGTGTACTTAGAATCTACAAGTGAAGAGCTATGTAGAGTGCTAAAAGGAGGATTATATATACAGGTATTTGGGAGCTATAAAGGCTAGGCCCAAAAGAGTGAAAGAATCTTAGAGATAAGCATTGTATAATGCCTAGGTCTAGAGCTATATAGCTAAAGCTCTAAGCTGTGAAAGGAAGGTCCAAGAGAGCCGTTGTATTATGCTATGTATATAGTATGAGTCAGTGGGCGGAAGAGAGCTGTCTATTCCGTTACAAAATCTTATTGATTGATTG